ATTGTAACACGTAGTAACAGATAAGCTACATTAATTCCATATCATAAATGATACTACTAGGTTACTTGCAATAGCGCATTACATTGTAACATAGTAATAGCTAAGCTGTGGCACCAACTGCATCTTGTGAATGACACTTATTCGCATCATGGATATTTAGCACCTGCAAATCCCCTGGTCAGAGCAAAGGAATTTTCATGGGGGCAGAAGGGCAGGGGGCCCCTTGCCTGGTGCATCCGGGTGGCCACCTCCAAGGCCTTCTGCTTGGCGGTCTCCATGGCGTACCCGTACGGAGTGGCGAAGGAGGCTTTGTCCAGCTTCTCTTTAAACCTGGAGGGGACCACCTCAAACCTCAGACCCTGCAACAGAAGAAAAAGGGGTCAGGAGGGTCAACGACAGATCCTAAGAAAACGGAACGGAACGTGCAAGATTGGCAGGAGATGTTGGCTACACGCCCCGATCTTCTCCTCCATCCACCGAACCTTCCCTGAGTGTGGCCGGGGAGTCGGAAACTCACCAGAGCTTTCCCTGTGTGGTTAGTGGGCCGGGGACTGACCGGGGCCTTCAGGGACTGACCGGGGGCCTTCCTGGCTCTCGACGGAAGACATTGGCAAAGGAAGAAGCCAGGAACGAAGAGGCCAGCGGGGAAGGATTGACTCAGACCCTGAACGCATGAGTCAATGGTGGCAGAGGGTTCCCGGAGCCCTGACGGTTGGGGTAAAACCATCCTGCCCACAGGAAGTTCAGGAAAAATGCCAGCAGTGATGGCTGCAGGAAAGGAAGCAGTGATGGCTCTGAGTCAATCCCTGGTACCCAGGAAGAAACAACAGCGTCCCTGGGGAGGCCTGGCCTAAGAGGTAGTGATCCCCGCAGAGACTGTGGGGTCAGGAATGATGGTGGTAAACGCCCCCAGTGGGGGTGCCCCTGGCTGCCACAACCTGCCAGGGCTCAGGGAACTCTGCATCTTCCCCTCTGACAGACAAGCATCGTCATCATGGACACACACCCCCATGCTGGACACACACCGTCATCTTGGACACACACAACCATCTTGGACACACACCGTTATCTTGGGTACACACCCCCATGTTGGACACACACTGTCATCTTGGACACACGATTTTTTTGAGACGGAGTCTCGCTCTGTTGTCTAGACTGGAGTGCAGTGGTGCGATCTCGGCTCACTGCAACCTTCGCCTCCCGGATTCAAGCGATTCTCCTGCCTCAGCCTCCCGGGTAGCTGGGACCACAGGCACCTGCCACCACGCCCGGCTAATTTTTTGTATTTTTAGTAGAGACGGGGTTTCGCCGTGTTAGCCAGGATGGTCTGGATCTCCTGACCTCGTAACCCACCTGCCTCGGCTTCCAAAGTGCTGGGATGACAGGTGTGAGCCACCGCGCCCGGCCAAATCTGTTTTCTTTAATACGAGGACACAATTAGAAAAACTGGGTATTTTACCAAGGCTTTGGCTGCAATGGAGTGCTTTCCTTTAAGGAATGAAACTTGAAGTTACGAAGCCTAGAAAGGCCTTGGAAAAAACTGGTCTTGTGTTTTGCGTAGGCAGTCCCTGTACAGGGTTTCCGACCCGTGCTAAGTAAAGAATGTCAGTTTCTGACAGGCCTGGAACCCGAAGCTCTCTTGGAACCTCAAGAGGGAAGTAATTTGCCCAACTCAGAGGTATTTAATGGTACAAACCCGGGGCTGGGCTCAGCTTCAAAAAGGTCCTGTCTGAGATTCCTTGAATGGAACAAAGTTCCATCAAAGCCAATTTAAACGGTCTATGTAACAAATAATTATTCTTGGCCGAGCGCGGTGGCTCACGCCTGTCATCCCAGCACTCTGACCTCAACCCCAGATCACATAGACTCCTGCCTTATGCCCCGGGGCACCCAGACCATTCTCATCCCCGTCACTAGGACCGGGCACGTAGTATCCCTCGCTCCCAGGGTAGCAGACCTGCAGTCATTAGTCCCCAAGAGTAGACTCCTGCCCCCCTGCTCTATCCATAGGCAACCAGTAACCAGCACTTTGGGACGCCGAGGCGGGCAGATCACAAGGTCAGGAGATGGAGACCTGTCTCTTATACACATCTAGATGTGTATAAGAGACAGGCCCGTCTCAGCCTCCCAAAGTGCTGGGATTACAGGCGTGAGCCACCGCGCCCGGCCTTTTCCTTTTTCTTTGTCCCCATTTTTCCTAAGTGAAAAGCCCTGAAACCTAAGCTCTGCTCTCTTCAAGCCCTGTGAGCTTAAAGCTAGATGTTTCAACAGGCGCTGCCTCAAAGGCCCCCAAATAAAGACGGCTGCCAGGAACAAATCAACCTGTTCCCCTCCCTCCAGTGCTGTGTTTGGTGACCTGTAACCATGACCTCCCTCAGCAGGAGGTGGCCAGAAAGAACGAACCACCCCTCGTCCTTTTATAACTAGAGGGTCTGGATTCACACAGCAGGAGCATCGCCATCTTGGACACGCACGGCCAACTCGGACACGCACGGCCAACTTGGACACGCATGGCCAACTTGGACACGCACGGCCAACTTGGACATGCATGGCCAACTCGGACACGCACGACCAACTTGGACATGCATGGCCAACTTGGATGCATACCGCCATCTTGGACACGCACAGCCGTCTTGGACATGCATGGCCAACTTGGACACGCATGACCAACTTGGACACACATGGCTATCTTGGACACACACGACCAACTTGGACATGCATGGCCAACTTGGATGCATACCGCCATCTTGGACACGCACAGCCGTCTTGGACATGCATGGCCAACTTGGATGCATACCGCCATCTTGGACACGCACAGCCGTCTTGGACATGCACGCCGCCATCTTGGACACGCACAGCCGTCTTGGACATGCATGGCCAACTTGGATGCATACCGCCATCTTGGACACGCACAGCCGTCTTGGACATGCACGGCCAACTTGGACACGCATGACCAACTTGGACACACATGGCTATCTTGGACACACACGACCAACTTGGACACGCATGGCCAACTTGGATGCATACCGCCATCTTGGACATGCATAGCCATCTTGGACACGCATGGCCAACTTGGACGCATACTACCATCTTGGACACATACCGCCATCTTGGACACGCACGGCCGACTTGGACACACATGGCCAACTTGGACGCATACCACCATCTTGGACACATACCGCCATCTTGGACACGCATGGCCAACTTGGACACACATGGCCAACTTGGATGCATACCACCATCTTGGACACATACCACCATCTTGGACACGCATGGCCATCTTGGACACACATCGCCAACTTGGACACGCATGGCCATGTTGGACACACATCGCCAACTTGGACACACACGGCCATCTTGGACATGCACAGCCATCTTGGATACACATTGCCAACTTGGACACGCATAGCCATCTTGGACACTTACCACCATCTTGGACAAATGCCACCATTTTAAGTTCCCTTGATTAAAAACGGCCTAAAACCAGCCCCAAAACATGAGCCTCATGGCTAATGTCAGCATGACCAGAAACAGTCAAACCCTGAAATAAACCGCTGTGACCAGAAACATCCCAAGGCCAAGATAAGCTCCCCTCAGACCAGAAACATTCCAACCTGTCAGTCAACTTTGCCTCACACAGAAACATTCCGAGCCCACGATAGGCTTCCCTTCCTAAACCCTTAAGTACCCTCAGTCTGTAAGAGAGAACGCTCCTGACCGAACTCCGCCGGAAGCCCCCCTCAGGCTTATTCTCCAAAATAAATCTGTCTTTGACTGTGAAGCTGCTTTTCTTGTTTCATCTTTCTTCAACTCTTA